CTGGCTGAGGAATTCTGGGAGTTGAAGTCCACAAGTCTTAAAGTTGCCAAGGTTGGACACCCCTGGCCTAAATTAACTAGAGCAGGTTTAACTTAAGAGGGCTAAGAAGGAGGAGACACTTGCCATGACTATTGCCTTGTAAGGACAAACTCTATGGCACCAATGATAAAGTGTCTTAATGCCAGCAATCCGGCATTCAGATCCTAAAACAGTGAGTTAATAATGATGTAACTATTCCTACAAATTTAGCAGGATATAGAAGCCCAAACAACCAAACTGTTTTGGTAGTGGGAGATGAAAGAGGTGTCTACAATTACACAGGAGCTGAAGCAGGTGATTAGGGAGGCGTGGTTGTTTTTTCCTCCCTCAAAATATTAGAGCATATTATCAGCAGCCATCACTGATGGAGATGGAGGACAAAAAGAAAAGTCATCCCACAACACAAATACAAGTATGGAATGTGGCAGAAGATGCAGCAACACCCAACACTGATTGTTTTGACAAGGAGATTAGAAAAATTTACAGAGAGCGAGGCTCTTAATGATTACTAATCACGATAGCCCAATTTGACCTTAATACCTCTTTATTTATTTTCTTATTTAATACTAATTGCTAAGGACCAATGCTCTTTTCTGGGGCCAAAGTCAGACAAATCTTTGAGCTTGAATGTGCTGGGCTCTTCTTCATGAATGAAAGCAATAGGAAAACAGCAAGAATGAGAATATATGGGATTTGTGCAATGTGCTTGTGTGAAGGTACTCCGTGGTAATGGAGTATTGTTGGGTTAATTCATTTTCATTAAAAATAAATAAATCTTAAGCAACATCTGCTCTGGGTTTACCATTCTGCTAAAGAAATTTTATCACTTCCACATCCTATGTCTTTTAAGAAAGAATACAAGGCTTTAAAGCAGGGGTCTCCAACCTTGGCAACTTTAAGACTTGTGGACTTCAATTCCCAGAATTCTGGGAATTGAATTCCACAAGTCTTAAAGTTACCAAGGTTGGAGACCCCTGCTTTAGAATAATGTGGGACTGGCCAATGACAAAAAAATAATTGCAGTTTGTTCAGCAGACCTCACCCAAAGCAAATAAATATGAGTATTTATCTAAATAAATTATCTAAACAAAGATAATCTCTCCTATCTTACAGAAACAGGGGCCTTAAAATGTGTGCAGAATTCATGGACCTGTTGAGTGTATTTTTTAAAAATGCATTCTGGCTAAAACTGAAGTATTTGTTTAATGACCAAAGACTGCTTCATCTTGTTAAGATCCTGTATCCATCCTTCATCTCTGATATGGCAATGCAGACCTGTTTTACTGAAGTCTTCCCAAGGTCCAGGGAATAGAGAAGGAAAATTTTCTAATCTTTTCTCAAATTATACTTGATTCAAAAATGTATTAAATAAGCTTGATACACATTTGCCAGGATTTGGAAAGGGGAACGTTTGTGTTTTAAGCACAATCATCCTCTTGTTATAGACCTGGACTGAATGAGCTAACTGAATTATTAAATGATTGTAAATGGTCCATTTTTCAAATTTTAGAACAATTCCTTAGGGATCAAATATGTAGTGAAAGGTCAAATCATCATAAAGGTAAGAAACTCAGCATATAGGTCATTATTTTTCTCAATAAGTTATGCTTTCTAGAAACTTTGGGGTTCGAAACTGCTGGTTGCTTTTAGAAGTGATCAATGTCTTTCCACTGTTATTTAAGTTTTTAATCCTGAAGTGAATCTGGCACCTCCTTTATGGTGCTGCCACTTGGATCCTGAGAATGCCTTCAAATGTGAATCAGGGAAAAGTGGTTTCTTATGTGCCTATTTACAGTTCCCAACATGTATTTCCAATAGAGTCATTTTATTGGAAACAGGACTATCTCAGGGCATGGCTCTTTGGTCTGTTGTGTTTGCTGAGAGGGCCTATTTTTAGGATAGCCCCAGATTTATTTCCTTATCTCCCAGCAGAGGGCCACAACTGCTCCTAGCTACATTTGGAAGCCCAAGAAGCTATTGAATTGAGCTACCACTCACTATTTCTCTACCTGAGTAAAAGATAATTCTGCCTCTGCACTAATATTTGGAGTATTTCCCTTCCAAGCCTCTGAGTTTAAGCTCATTCATCTCATCTTTTGGCATTTTATTTGAAAAGGCGTTTCAGCCAATTTCTTATCTTAATAGACTGCTTGCAATTAATTTTCAAAACCTTGTTTTGGCAAAGCTGAATATGCAGGTATTGGGATTTGGGATTATAATTTCTATTGCTAAGCAAGGCAGTTAGTGCGTCCTGCCTGACTTTACAATCTTTTTTTGCCGTGGTTGTTAAGTGAATCACTGCAGTTAATATGGCCATTAAGCAAATCTGGCTTTTCCTCCAGTTGACTGGGAAGGGTCTGGGAAGTCACAAATGGCAACCACACATGACCCCAGGATGCTGCAACCATAATAAATACATGCTGGTTGCCAAGTGCCTGGATTTTGATATGTTGGAATGCTGCAACAGTCGTAAGCACAGGGACTTATTGTAAACCACTTTTTTAGTGCTTTTGTACGTCTTAAATCAAAGACTACCTGTAATATCTCCCATTTTACAAGGAAGACACGAGGGGGATTTTTCAATTCTTGGGAACATGCCCACGTAATGAACAAGCAGTCAGGCCTACCAGCATACTGTAATTACTGCAAGTCAGCAGTTGATTGTACCTATATGGAGGAAAAAAGCATCTGCAGAGCGGTTAAAAAATAAATTTAAAAGGTCCAGAAGGCAGCCTGACTACGATCAAAACCCTCTGTTTTTTTGCCTATCACCTTGACTGTGATCTTTCATCTCCCATAGATGACTCAATTGACTGCCCTGTCAACATCTTAGCTGACGGATAAAGTGCCAAAGGTTAGAATCAATGGCTATTAGCACGAGGCAACAAGGATTGTCCCAAAGGATAGGGATGATCTGTGTTACTGCTGTGTTGCATTTTTATACTGTGTGTGTGTGTGTCTTTGTTGCATTTATTTGTTTGCTTCTTGTCTTGGCTCTTGCCATCAGCTATGAATTGTCAACTGAGGTAATTAAAAAGAAGACAACTCCATTTGTAGAGCTATTTTTCCCACTTCAACTCCCCCAAGATGTGATAAGATAGCATCCCAGTTAGACTGAGGGCAGCAGAGTGGGGAAGGCTGTTGAATCATTTATAACACCAATGAACATCTAAGAAACACTGATCAGGGGACCAAAATAAAATTTCATAGCGTAAATGTCATAGCATATATCATTATTACTGTCTGTGGTAAGTGCTACACATTTAAGTCCCTATGATCACCTTAAGAAGAGGTTGGACAAGTATTTGTCTGAAATGGTGTAAGGTCTCCTGATTGAGCAGTGGGTGGGGCTAAAAGGCTTCCAGGTTCCTTCCAACTCTGCTATTCTGTTTATTCTGACACAAGTGCCTTCTTGAGCAACTTCTCACATTTGTTTATTTAAATTTAATAAATAAAATTTAATTTGTCATTATCTAATACTTGGATAAAAACACATGGTGTGTTGTCTGGTCTACTTAGTCTACTATTGCCAGCTTTAGGAGCTTCTTGTCTTCTAGGGTCCAAGAGTGACACTATTTCCTTTCACTTGCAAAACAATTCTCTAACTGGAAACAAGGGAGATGATATCCCAGCATTTCAAAATGCAAATCAGGACCCTCTTCAGCCATGGCCTTTTCTTTCTTTGCAACCTTTTGAGGCCTTTGTAGTGGGGAAGTTATGCTATCCAAATTGATAGGAATAGGGGAAAAAAATAACCAATAAGTTGGGACAAAATTAAATTGGATTTAATTGAAATTATTTTCCATGTAATACGTTCCAAATCTACATAATTTACATTTTTGCAACAAATTATTCGGTGGGTGCAAATCTAAACTCCAGATTTTGAGAGTTTGCATCATATATCATGGTATCCCTTTTTGATAAAGTTACTCAAATATCCCAGACTTGAATAAAATTGCTCAATCATCAGATTTTGCACAAGAGAAACTTGCCATTTTGTTTTTTTCACTGTGGAAATGTTATGCAGAATGTTGGCACTTATTAATAGCAGTGTTATTGCTTTACGTACAAAGCAATCTACTGAAAGAGTTTGAAACAAACTAGGTTATTCTATAAACAAAATCTTTAGTTTCTTGAAAAAAAGTTTTCTACTTAGGGTATTCATGGTAATTTTTCATTATGTTCCCCCGGATACTATTATCATGACGGATGCATATCTCCAATAACTTAAAGTGTTTTTGAATAAAATAAAACTTTAAATGCCCAGTTTATGGACTGGTGGTTGTTCTGTGCCCTAGCCTAATGAAATTATACTCTTAAAAAAGGAAAATGTGCATAACTTTTTATAAAACTGGCAATGTCACAAAAAATAGGCAAAGAGAAAGAGATGTCAATTAAGTTTTATCTAATATGTTCAATTTTTTTATGTTTAATGATGGCTTTCTGTATATTGGCTATTGTAAGTATAAATATTAATATTTGTTATATTTAAATATATTTATACTATTAAAGAACAGCTAAGTCTGCAGAGCTCTGACAGGCTGCAACAATTTCTAATATTACATCCACTTAACAACATGCATATCTCCTGCTTTAAGATATTTGTTAGTACTGTGGTTTTCACCAAGGGCATGGCTGCTTAGTTTGATTCTCAGCTGAACAAGAGATACAGTGCATTTTTGCAGGCCTATTTATTTCTTTGTCTGTCCATATGAAACACTAGATATAGGAATTGGAATAAGAAGTATGGCAACGATAGGAATATTTTTTACAAGGTGCAGCACAAAGCTTACAAAAACTGTTAACTATCACATGCAAAAAACTCATTACATGTTTGGCAAGATAGCAGTGCGCTTGTTATTGATTTATTAATTATTTACTGAATTTGTATGGCTGCCTATCTCACAGAGTGCTCATACATAGCCTGTTTGCAACATGGCATCTGAAACTAGCATCCTTAATTTTCCCACATAGCACACTTGTTTCACAGCTTATATAGGGTTTATTTGGGGTTTATGTTTAGGATCACTCCAACAGATTTGGCACACAGATGTAGAGGAAAATACATGCTGTCACGTGTGAGGACCTGGCTTATATTGTCATGATTGCACATCTTCTGACAGCCTGTATTCAAAAAATAACCTTCCTAATACATTCTGAAGACACTGAAAAGTATGTTTCTATGTATGCTCTGTTCACATGTACCTTCCTGTGCATGTTTTTTATATCCTAAAGATTCGCAAAAGAAAGGCAAAAAAGCAAGTATAAAATGACTCTTGCCCAAATCCTTGGAGAAAATGAATATGTGCAGGAAAGCCAGAGTTTTCCAGAGAGGATTTTCACACATTCTAAGCTGGTATGAAAAAAATAATCTTCAAATACAATTGGGGAACATTTTCTACTGAATTTTGTGGAAATCTTTCATTTCAGGAATGCATTTTTCTGTGGCAAAACTGATAAGCAGATGGACTGTCCAGGGACTTACATGCACATATTTTGGCAGCTAAATGTACAGAAATTAAAAGAGAAAACATTACAAGAAAAAAACCTACTCCATTTACATGCAAAAGAATCACAGACCCACTATTTAGTGATCTTTAAAATGGGTTAAATTCAAGTAAAATGCCGAGGGGAGGGGAGGAAATGAACTAATTTAAAAGCAAGGGAGTAAAATTCTATGAAATATCTGATTATAGCTCTAATATATTGTTTTCCTGCTTCAAAGTAATAGATATGCAGTAAATGCCCAGCATCCTCTTGAAAGAAAGCCTCATATTAAAAAAAAAAAAGCACAGGTATATAGTTGTTCTCCAAATTTCCTGCTCAAGTTCTTGTATAATCATCATAACTGCTTTTTAAACGTCTTTGAGATCAAATAATTGATTTAGGGACATGTTGCAAGTTCTTCAGCAATAAATGAGTGGAATTGGCTCAGCATGCACCAGCAGCTCCTCCTACTAGCTGGGAGTGGGTAAACTTTGCACATGCGTGTTCATTGTGTTTGCTGTGCTCAAAATCTCACTGCGGTTTAGGATAATTTAGCGGTAGAACTACATAAAAATAAGCAAAGAAGAGCACAGACTTTCTTAAATTATCAACAAGGTGCAGAAGTTTAAGAACCCCAATCAAAACCAAACTGTAATAGAACATTAAGCTGTAGTTAAAAAGTTCGTCCCAAAGAACTTTCCCTCATATAGCACAGCTGTGTCTTATTAAAATATGTATTATGTGTATCACAGGTGATACAATTACTTGTAATATAGATTCACTTAAATGTTGTTCATTAAACATGCAAAATTCATTGCATGATGCTTATTCAAAAATGTATTTAATAGCTTCCAACAACAGTTGAAGAAAACTTATTCTGTGTTAAAGTTTTCGCTTTGATTTCTGTGGTTCCAAGTATTCTAAACCCAATCTGTTAAAAGCTGAAATTATTTTTAGAAACATTCCTTAATTATTTTTAGAATCATTTCAGGCTTGACTCTGAATTCTACATCTCTATTAATTTACTGTACACTTTTTATATTCTATTCATGCAGTTTACTAAATAAATAAGTATAAATCAAAGAGTTAGGGATGTATAGATTCAGAGCCCAGTTAAGAAATATTTAGGATAAAATATTAAAACTGGCTTTACAATAAACTTGACTAGTGATATAAATAGCAAACTGGCACCCTGGATCATAATATAATCTCATGGAGATTAAAAATAATACATATATCAGTATTATGCAATTTTACCTTGGAGCTACTTTATCACAGGCTCTCGTTAGTATTCATCCTATGCACATAATTTTTATTTTATATTGAAAACTTTATATTGAAAACTTATACGAAACCTCTATCTTGATCAAGTAATTTTAAAAGCTTTATGGGCCTTCTTTGTTCATATCTTTGTTTTTATCATAGATCTGGCCAACTGTAACATTGAATAAAATTTTCTGGATTTCCCTTTATTCCATTCTCCCCTCCCTGCCCCCCCTGCCCCTTATTCTTCAGTCAACTTACATTTTCATCTCTTTTTTCCTCAATCCCATATGATAGTCTCAGATTCATTATTAACTGTTTAAGAAGAAGTTTTCAGAGGTACAGGAGATAGAGAAAAATAGTCAAAGTTATAAAAAGGACAAAGGCTAGCAGTAATCTATAAGCATCAGTGATTCCTAAATAAATACACTGGGTGATTTTCTACGTCCACAAGTTCCTTGGCATCTTCCCTTCCTCGTTACCCCTACAATTCCCAGACCTGAATGGAATCAACAAGGCAAAGGTCTAAAAACTCCAGGGCTAAGGGCAATTTCCCAGTGGGGAGGAGGGCTTTCCCGAGTCTATGGTTTTCATACTTCACACTGCAACATGGGATGTACAAACTGCGGGTTGACATAAGAGAACCCTTCAAAATCTGCTTGGTCTATGTTAGAAATGACCAGCTGATCAGGTGGCGTTAATACTGGTTGTCCTCTGGTGAAGAATTTGTCAAAGTTTTCGGCACCCTTGCCACACTGCAATTAAAAAAATATATATTACAAATTGGAAAGCAAGCTTAAGTAAACAGATGCTATATTACTTAAAAACTCTTAACCTGCTCTGAGGATCCTAGAGGGGAAGCACATTTTTCGGGCTATAATAATATTCTTGATACTAAAAGTCACAACTGACTTTTCAGGTGGATAAAAACTAAATCTGGTGACCGGGAATATGAAAAGTAAGAATTCTTGTGCTGACTAGGCTGCCTGGTTCAAAAATTGTGAACATATTTAGAGCTCATATGCAATATTTTTATTTGCACATTACATATCTTCATTTGAATGTCGATCTAGGACCTAGTTAAGTGTGCACAAAATATTTATATTGTTGAATTTCAGCATTCCAATTATTTGGGAATACTCTTACCAGTCAGAAACATTTCAGCTGGGTGAACCATGGGAAATTATACAAATTGGGGTGGTGGTATATTAAACTAAATGAGATGAAATGAAATCGGTGGTAGAAATGTCTCCATTCTGGTTGGTTAGGTTCTTTCCATAGGAAAATAACTTCAACAGAAATACTTCAAGATGAGTTATCCTTTAAATAAAATAAAGTCTCACTGTATTAAAAACATGCAATGCCATAATTTTAAAATCCTTTAAAAATGAATTTCACAGACTTTCTGTTTTGAGTTACTGAACTGTGCTGGTAGATTTACATACTGAATGTGCTCTCCCCCAGGTCATTCTTGCTATAATATTCTAACATTCAAACAGGAACCCTGGTATTCAGAGGACAATATTCCATCTTGGTGGGGAAATATACATGAAATGGTAACTGCTGCTGTTCACAGCTGTCTTCCAGGGAGTTCTGTCATGAACACGTTTTATTTTTCTGCCAAATGCACTCTCTTAATTTCTGGTTGCAGCAATAAACTGAAAAATGGTTCGAATAATATATACTATGGATTTTTTGTTGTGTTTTCAAAGGGCAAACTACTTCATAGCAATCAAAAAGGGTTTTAACATGATGGGAATAATGGTTGAATTCCAGCCCACGTACTAAAAATAAATGCTTTACAGATTACTTCTTTCATATCCCCAGTTTATTCTGTTCCATTTTTTAAAAATGGCATTACATCTCCTACCAACATTTTTAAAAGCCCATCTTGGTACAAAATGTAATTTAAGATCTTCTCTATTGCCCACACTAAAGTAGAAAAAATAGCTTCAAGCACCTAGTGATTGTATGAAAAATAATTTGATCAAACTCTTTAAAAGTACAAGAACTACTTAATCTTAGAAATATATGACTACTGGTGCTTTATGTCCATGTGGGATTTTTTTTTACATGTTCAATCATATATATTTCAACAGAAAAGGAATAACTACTGGGAAAGGAAAAATTGAACCCAAGAGCTGTCATTTAAACTGACAGATTTTTGAGAAAGTGGGAAACATCACTCAAACCACACTTTCTGAACTATGCAGTTTCCTGATACACTCCCAGCCATCTGTTAATCAATTAAAACAGGTCTTTTAGGATAATGACTTCAAGCTAATTTCACATTAGGAAATAAAAAAAGGATAAAAAAAGGATGACTGCATGCAAAGGGATTAGAAGGTACCCATAAATTCCAGTAACTGTTATGGAATACATTCCCACTCTATGCTTAAAAGAATAAGACTTTATTAATGAACAATCTTAGCTCTAGAAAGGGGCCAATGTACAGTTAAGAACTAATCCCATGGGATAGCATGGAATAGCAGTGTTCAAATATCTAAGAGGCTGCCACAAGGAAGCAGCGGTGGGGTATTTTCCAAAGCACCTGAAGACAGAACAAGAAGCAATGGATGGAAACTAATCAAAGAGAAAACCAACTTAGAACTAAGAAGAAATTTCCTGACACTGAGAACAATTAATCAGTGGAATGATTTGTCTCAGAAATTGTGGGTGCCCCAACACTGGAGGTTTTTAAGAAGACCATTTGTCTGAAATGATATAGGGTCTCCTCAGGGGTGGGATACGACAGGGTTAACTACCGGTTCAGAATTTACAAGCTTCCCTGCAGGCTGAGAGCTGCACCTGTAAATCGTCATCAGCAGCTGCCTGCAGAGAAGCAGCCTTTGAAACAGCCCTCTTTTCTTGCTTTTCTAACTGCAGCTGTGCCTCGTTCGGCAGCTGAAGTTGAAAAATCAGGAAATAAAGATCAGGTAAGAGCCCGGGTGGGTGGGTGGGCAAAAACATCAGCAGACATAGAACCGGTTCTATGTCTGCTGCTCTTCAGAGCTACCGGTTCTACAGAGGTGGACAGAACTGGTAGAAACCCACCCCCGGGTCTCCTGATTCAGCAGCAGGTTGTTCTAGAGGACCTCCAAGGTCCCTTCCAACTCCGTTATTCTGTTTTTCTGATAGACTTTTACACACCCATTGTCCTCTGATTTTACCACAGCTTTCTGACTGATAAAGATGAATAGAATCATGCCATCAAAGCAAAAGTTCCACGTAATTCCAAACAGTCAGTGTTATAGGTCATTCTCCAATCTCTGCAGATTCATGGTTCACAAAGCCCTTTTATTTTGATTAATGTGAAAGCAAGAAAGTTGAATCTATCTAGCTTGTACACTGGAAAAAAAATGGCTGGGTGAGATACGTTGCAGTGCTATCCCACGTGATACGTCTTTCACCAGAACACTTCAAGTCCGTGCATACATATATAAAAGTTCCATTCAACCCATTAATGCATCATTTCTGCCTAGGTCATACTACAACGATCTCTCGTGGGATTTGAAAAGATTACATTTGCTTCTTCTGCTTGAGCTTATTGCATAAACCTCTACTGTGCATTCAGAGCTGCTTTTGGGATCCTTCTCAAGGTTGCAGGTGAGAAGACTGCAACGTGAGAGAGTAGGCCTTCCTTCTGGTGGCGCTCTGGGTCTGAATCTCTCTCTTCAGACTGCCGACTCCTTTCAGCTGGTGCCGTTTCAATTCTCCTAAGTACCTTTTAAATTCTGCCTTTCGTTATCTGACAGTGTACTGTTATATCTTCTGCAACTATTTATTTGGGTCTGCCTTAATTTTATTACACTTGTTTTGAGTGTATACAGCACTGGCATCTGCTTAAGAACCTTTCACTTGAAAAGACTATTAAATATCTAAATAAAATAAAACTTGTATTTTGTTATGAGACCACAGACACCAAATGTTGAAAGAAACATTACTGTCCATCTCATTTACCACTTTTGGTTTGAATGGAGGCTGGATGTCTCTGTTCTCCAGTCTTTCCCAGTCAATTCTCCTAAAGAAGGCATGTTCCCTAATGTCCCTCTCTCCTTCGGGCCCACAGCCGAGACGTTTGGCAGGGTGTTTAGTCATTAACTGGAAATCAAACACATAAAGGATACAATTAGTTTTATTCGGAATGAGAGGAGCAGCACACAGTCAATAAAGTCATCTTGTTTTTCCTTAATACTTGCTGCTGTTAATCCTAAATGTTTGTAATTCATACTATATTCCTACACTCCAAATTGGTTGCTGTTTTGTCCAAATACAGATTAAAGGCAGATTTTGTCACTTTGCTAGAAATTCTATTTTCTTTAATGTCAACAAGTAAAAAGAGAGAGAGAGATCTGAAGAAAGAACAGGTACATTTTTGAACCCAGAATTACTAAAGTAATACTCACTACTATCACTTTAAAATGTTCATTTGATTAGACAATGGTAGCTGGAAAAAGTACTTACTAAGATGTATATTTATAGACCTTTTTCTTCCCACTGTTACACAAAAATAGATACCCTTCTTAGATACAAAAACAATGTTCCTCTTCTATCAAGAATTAAAAAGCTAGCACTTTTTTTTTTTTTTAAAAAAATCTATATTTCAAAAAAACCAACTGCCACAAAAATGGTTTAGAAACTGTATTTTTAAATTTTTGGATAGTATATTATTCTAAAAGCATAAGCTTCAACTATTGTAGCAACAAAAAGAAAGAAAGAAAGATAGCTATCTACAGAGCAAATCATGAAAAACATGTGTGCCATTTAAAGTTTAAAAGTTTTACATACAGTTGGGACTAAATTATCACCAATAAGACTGTATAAGATGAACAACCCTTTCCACACATAGCTTTTTTGGGGGGAAATTGCATGTTTTCTGAGTTATGGCGATTATCCATGTTCTCAAGCAGAAGCAATATCCGTTTATGTTAAGGAAATCATCTGGTGTGAACTACACAACAAGAAACAGACAAAAGGTCTATTTTCATTATCAGTACTTATCAGAAGTTTGGTTCACCAGCACTTAGTGAGAACTGAAAATGTTTTTTAAATTTAAAAAATGATTCTTAGGGAGGAATACATTTTATTAACTATTTTGATTGTATAAAAGTGAACCCAAGTGACAAATATTAAAAAAATTCCAGATATATTAGCCCAATTCTATTACAACAGTGCTTAATGAAATATTAAATTTTACTTTACCCAGATAGTAACTAATAAATGCTTAATATCGCACCTGTAAATTTTTAAGTTTCAAAATAAATACAATAACATCTCAGATCGGTGCACCTTACAAGCAGAAGATCTTGGATATCGATGCTCAAGTTGGCGTTAAATCCCTAAAATGGTTGGCCAAGAATAAAAAGAATTCCACTTAGGGGGAAAAAAAACTTAATAATGGGTCTGGCCCAGAGCCAGTGAAAGAACACAATTCGAGCTCCTGGATTCCATAGTAAAATATGGTTTATTTCACTGAATACTGTATTCAGAAATGAAATGCATATATGTTGCCTTAAATAGAGACAGATAACCATCTTCCCCATCTCTGGATCAGTATTTAGAGCTTCTAATTGAGGGCAGCTGTTTGGGACCATTTTCAAATTATCTTATTTCTTTCAGGTTATAAATAAACTAACAACTTCATAACTAAAGCCATCTAATGGATTAGGATTAATTGCAGAGATGACAAATGCATTAACTGGATACCCTTTTAGCAACTTAATACAGTGTATCTATTTTGTTCTATTACGTCAATGCCATGTTTTGATTTGATACGGTCATTTGACTGCAGTGATCAATGGAATGAACAAACCTTACCCCTTTGCAGATGGACACAGCTTCTTTGGACATTGCTTTGGGATAGGAAACATTATGTTCCATTATTGACTGAAAGAGTTCATCTTCATCCTCGCCATCAAATGGAGGCTGTTCAAAGAAAGCAAGGTTGGCAGGACATTCAAAAATGAACACTTACCCTGAACATTTATTCAAAAGCAGATTGTTAGTTCCTGCTGTCTCAGACTACCTACTTTTGATCAAGCTAACTGGAGAAGCTAGGAGTTTGGCGGAAGGATGGATAACATCCTGTTGAGTTGTAGGGCAGAGCTTTTTCTTTTTTTGTGGGGCGGGAATAGAAGAGACAATGTTTTATGCTCCTTCAGAACTTTAGTTGGCGGTCCCACCAAGTGGGCTAGCCTCATATCTGATGCTGACTGTTGGAAAATCATGGTCTCCCTGCTGCTTAGCATCTACGATCCCTGGATGAAGTTACCTGGAATTTTGGAATCCAATGTCACCACAGTGCTGTGTTCCGACCCTCTCAATCTCAATCTAAAGAAGCTGTTCAAGTTTTTAAAAGGAGCTGTTGACTATACAGTAACTATATGAAGGGAAAGAAATTGAAACATTGTCTGTTTTGGGGTATAATTCAAAGAGTAGACTATGATCAAGCTCTAAAGGGTTTCCAATTAATTGGAATATTGTATTTTTCTGTATGATCCTAACCTTATTTTAAGCTTCCTCAAAGTCCATTTCTTCTATTATCTTTAAAATTTTTAAATAGAGGGCCTTCTTTGCAGCTTCATGTACCAACCTCCACAAATGAAGCCTATCATTGATTCTTCTACTGATAAGACAGTTTGCAACAAATATGGCTTGTTTATTTTTAATTAATATGTGATGTGCTAATGTACGGGTTATGTGAATAAATCATACTTCAATATTTGACAGTATCTGAAAATATGATTTGTTGCCAGCATGTGGATTGAGAACAACATTTAAATAAAGTAATATGGTTGGATTTCTGGCTTTTGTCCTGCACGATCCTCAATCTGAAGAGTTGCAAGACAAAAAGTAGCTAAAAAGAAGGAAAACAAATCAGGAATTGGTCAACAAATTAAACTTCATTTATCTGATCCATCTACAACAGGGATCTCCAAACTTGGCAACTTTAAGACTTGTGGATTTCACCTCCCAGCCAGTCAAAAATCCACAAGTCTTAAAATTGTCAAGTTTGGAGACCCCGGACCTTCAAGATTGTTCAACATCATATTTTAAGAGAAAATATTATTTAGATGATGCATGGACATAGCCATTGTATCATGAAATCTTGCACTTTTAATTTTCAGAGGATATGCAGTTGATCTGTTAACTTGAAATGTAGCTAATAACCTTTATTTTTTACTGTGTCTTATTTTGTCTTTCATTCCTAACTCATTTAATTGTTTAAGGCTTACCTCATGAAATGGACCTAGCCATTCTTACCTGACCAGCCAGCATCTCATATAAAAGTACTCCATAGGCCCACCAATCTACTGACTTTCCATATGGTTGATAGGCAATAATCTGTGAATTCCAGTAAAAAGATTTAGTAACATACCTTGAAAATATCTGTTTTTGAAAAAGATACAACAAACATCAATTGCACTAATAGCTCAGTGGCATTAAAGTACAGTAACCCTTTTTAAAAAATGGTTCATACAGAAATCATGGATATTTTTATATTATAAAGTATTGTATCTCAAGTGGTGGTATTTAAGCTTAATTGTTTTAATGGAAACAGGTCCCCTGAACTGGCCTAGCCAATTAAGCTTGAAGGGGCTAAATTTGCCCCAATAGCCCTGGATGCTTTGGCATGACTCTATTTCTGCAGTCAGTTATGTTATCTGAAGAGCTGACCGGGGACAGAAATTACTTAACCATACCATATACCATAGTATATATACTATACCATATATACATATATTATACCATAGTAGAGACAATATCCTAGAAAGTCTCTATAATGACGTCTCTCTAGATAATCTGTCTCTATAACTATTCTACTTTATCTTGAAGAAGAGATAAACAGGCAAAATGGATGAGCATGTTGCCGTCCATAATAATATTCTAAAGTCCGTTACATCACCACTATGGATTTGATTTTTCATCTGCTTCGGAAAGAGGGAAAAATGGGTAATGGGAAAAGAAATGAAAGCCTAAAATAATGGCCCTGCTGTCAATCACTCAGGTGCAATGGGGAGTAATCCAATTGTGGGGTGGATCCCTGGGTTAGCCTTCCTGGATGAACCTGGGCAATTCAGTGGATTCTGAACTAATATATAGAACCAAGAGGACATCCGATTCTGCCTACTGTCTATAGAGCTTACACAGCAACAAATCTTAGTGATGTGTTCCCGTCCCCACCCCCCATTGACCCTTGAGACATATCAACACTAAAAGTATATTCAGCTCCCACTAAAGAAGAAGCAGCACTTTTTTTTCTGTCAGCAGTACTGAACCATAGTTTAAATTGGATGATTAGGCCTTATGGAAAGCTACAATGAAAAGCACATTTGCTGGAATTATAATGATAGTTATCATTTGTGCTACTACACATATATTAGTTAAAGACATCCTTTGATTAACACCACATGGGTGCATTTAGAGAGTTCTGGATCTCATAGTAATAAATTCAAGTTTGAAACCAAGTATTTTCTTAAGCCTATTTTCTGACTGATTAGTGATTCCCCCACCAAAGGAATTATTTATTTATTAGATTTTTATCCTGCCTTTAGCAACCTTTATTACAAACTCTGTTACCTGTTGTTAAGCTTAGCAATGGAGATGTCGGGCTCAATTGTGGTTGTACATCAAAGACTACCTGTACTGTATAAGGAGTAGGCTAGGGGTTTTTCCAGGATGTGGTTTTGATAAAACACTCGTTTGAGGTACAAAGTTTCAGTGGAAATTTATAGGTATAATCAGGAAATCAAAATACTTTTATCAAAAGTATTATTGAAATGTTAGTTATGAAAGAAGAAGTAAAAATCCAGAATGGCAGAATGTCACAAGTTAATATTAATATTAAGCTACTCTCTTTCCTGAGACTCCAAAAAGGCTTTAAAAATACTATCATTTGCACGTTTTAAGAGAATTTTCATTTATATTTTAATTTGAAATATACACAATTGCAAAATAGCTAATTCATAAAAGTGAACAATAGGTGCTATTCAAGACACTAATTGCAAGAACTTTATTTCAAAACATGAGCAACTGGCAAAGTGATTTATTCTCTTTCTAGCTATAAAGAGAAACGGAATGGAAAGCTAAGATGGAAGAAGGATTTTCAATTTTGGGGGGGTGGAGGGCTTCACAACACTGGAAATATGATAGCAATATAATGATGCATTTAAAATTAATCATGATATGAATTTACTTCCTTTTAAAAAACGAACCAGTCCTGGCTAACACTAATTCAAGATACAATGAGATGAGGTCAGATTTTACCCTGGGATCTTAGTCACTGTGGGGGCCTTGGTGCTCTCTGAGCTTGGTTGTTTTCTTGTAGGCATTTCATTAGCCAACTAGATAACATCATCAGTGCTAGAAGGGAGTGGACTTTGCTCTCTATTCAGAGATGATGTTATCTAGATGGACAATGAAATGTCTGCAAGAAAACAATCAAGCCCACAGAGCACCAAGGACCTCACAGTTCAATTCTAAGTTATGGCTATTCTCTTCTATCTATGGTCACAAACTGTAGCCTTTCATATTTTAATGCATCCTTATGTCACACTTAAGTTTGTAAGCCAGAGGCTTGAACTTGAAATCTCACAATACAGATTTCCTCATAAAGTGCCACCAACTTTATCCCCCACCCATGCCCAGAAAGAGTTATGTAAGAATGAGCTTAAAAGATAGCGATAGAGTGAGTGTCAAGGTTCCGAGTAAAGCATCCAAAGAAATCATAACTTTGAGGCAGGAAGATTCCTCCAAGAACATGTTTATTGGATACATCATATCTGCATGGCTTAGTGAAAAGCAACTCTAAAAGTTTCCCATGATTATAAGCATAATTAAAAGAGTAAATTTTCCTTCCCAAAGTGTCACAGGTCACCTTGTCCAATCAAAGCAATTGGTGGGCTCCTTGGTCATTCTTTTCCTCCTTCAACTGACACCCGTTGGGATAACCTTGGTTCCCATGGGAGAGCTCTTTTGTTATGTCTCCGAGACATTTATTTACTTCCCCCCTTCCTCCCTCAAGAGTATGTGACGTTTTGCTGTGAAGCAGCAAAAGATGGCTTCAGCCAGGTTCAATTCAGAGTTGACAGTGATAGTTATTTCATCCAGTTCCCCAACATTTTTCCTTACTAACTGGAGAGCAGCAGGAAACCTGAGTAAGTTTATCAACGTTTATCACCTTTCAAGTTCTGTTAACGGCAAACAATCATGTTAGAAAATCTAGCACTGATTGATCGTTCAAAAGTACATTATCTTCTGGAAGAATTATGGGTATGGTACATAATATCTCAAACAACAAATACCTCTGGTGCAATATAATCTGGAGTCCCACAGAAGGTTCTTGTTGACACTCCATCGCTCATATTCTCTTTGCACATGCCAAAGTCTGCAATCTTAATATGTCCTTCAGAGTCTAACATTACATTATCTAATTTCAGATCTCTATGAAAAATCACAACAATTAAGAAAGTTAAATATCAGCTGTCGGAAATGCTGGCGGTAGTCTCATTGCAAGAAATACAAGTTATTGTATTGTGCTATCCTAGTTTTAAGTTACATGTAACTTAAAACTAGGATAGCACAAAGACCATGTTTTCCTAGGCAAACCTGCTCATCTACTGAGAAGGGTTACAGACAACTTATTTGTAAGTGCCAAGGGAAATGATTGGGGGGGCACAATGGAGCATGTAGCCACTGTGTTGCTTATGTAACTATACAGATCAAACAGTGTCTCTTAAATACCCCTGTATTGTACTATATACAAATAGGGAGCAAACCTCACACTCACAGTGATGATGTTACCTAGTTGGGTAATGAAATGTCTGCACGAAAACAGCCAAGCTCAGAGAGCACCAAGGACTCCAGAGTTCAACCCTGTGCTACCGGAACATATATTCTCTTCTATTGTATGTCTTAAACACATACCACTCTCTCTTCTTATTGAGATATATTGGGTAAGTCCTGTTCAGACCAACTTCGTTCAGTAAAGTCAGATTTGGGATTAAATGGACAGGCTTTGGGGTCCAAATGTGTATAAAATTTGCCTCCTGGTCAAGCATACTAGTCCATGAAGATAAATCGCCTTCATTTTGCTACTGTTCATTTTATCTGAAAGGCTGCTGCTTTGGGGTAATTCACTTCTGCATCTCTTGTGACAATATTTTATTTAAATGTATAGAATACAATTCAAATCTGACTTGACTGCTGTATATTCCAGATGGTTTTAGAAGATCTATTAAGAGCAATAGACTGATGTGGGTACATTTCTTTGTCTTATAATGCTTATACAAAAAGCCTTTTATATGTTTTGCAAATCTTACAGCACTGAAGACTTCTGCTAGTGTACCAAGTTGAATAAGCAACTCTGAATATATGCATGCATGCATGCATGTATAATGTGTTCTATTATTTGGGAAATATGTGTTCCCAGTGCTTTCTTCCCCCATTTTTGCCTACAAACATTTCTTTTTTACAACCTGTGACAACTTGTGTTGTCTACTTACCGATAAACAATTCCTTTCTTATGGAGAAAAAAAAGACCCACTGAGATTTCTGCTGCATAGAATCTGAAAAGAAAAAACGACTCTTGCTAATCAAAAGAACTTCACCTGCATATGCAAGATTTGAATAATTTACAACCATCCATTCAGAAATGTTCCTTCAGAGCACGCTTGTGTGGACTGGTCTTATCCTCTCCATTAAGTTCCCACTGGTAGATTCTGACACACTATAAAATTTGGAGGCTGATGGCTACTATTGGATCTTCAGCCTTGCATTATTATAAAATCTGGATTGCCCTGGATTCTTGGTTGCAAACAGAATCTCTTCCCCAAGAGATCAGGCCCCTGATATAAATGTTTACATTGCAGTATGTGGAGAAAAACATGCATATCTCCAGAGTCATCTCACTTTTGCAAGGGTGCTTACATAGGATTATGGGACAAGATTAACACAATGGCTGCAAGTCACAGAAGACTCCATTAATGCTATGAATCAAAGTCCTGTTATTTACAAGAGAATAGAATAGAATACTTTACTTGGCCAAGTGTGATTAGACACAAGGAATTTGGACAAATGAGGATTCCTCCCCCTCCATGACAAGGTAAGAATTGTGATATATTACATTAGTTTGCTTTTAGATAATCTGAATTGTAGAGTGTATAGTGCCACAATCAGCTGTTTCTAAAATGCTTGTGATTCACACTACAAGTTATTTGCTCTATGATTCATACATAATATAATAATATAAGAAATGCAGCTCCTTTCAAAAAGTTTACTTGATTAATTGTATGAAATTAATAGAGACTGTGCTAATTAAGAATTTAATTCTTCTGAGTAGTTTTAAGCCTGTGCAATATTGATGAGTTTTGGAAGCTAGCTTTCCTATGAAGCAGTGACAATTACACAAAAATTTAGAAAATACGAGTAAGGTGGGGAATGGAAAGATACATCTTCCTAAAGCAGAATATTTTATGACAAATTCAATATAAAATCAACAGAAAATGCACTCACACTGCTTGGGGCTCCTTAAATTTTCCTACTTGCTGAATATGATACATGAGGTCGCCACCATTCACATACTCCATGACAAAGTACAGGCGATCCTAACAGACAATATGAAACCAACAAATAGGTCAGGCAGCAGACTGGTCAGGAATGGTCAATACAGAAAATTGGGGAAAGAGTATTAAGTGCATCTGCACAATTAAAACACAGTCACACGAATTATCAGATATTAAAAGCAATTGTTTATTGGTCTAATTAGATCAACTTTAAAGTTATGTTCTGTCTTCAGATGAATATTTGATCTTCTTTTGTTTTGTAGCAATAATTGTTATTATTAACTATATCAGTAAGATGAGGTGGATTCCCCCACCCCAGGTTTTAAAATATGAATAAGTCAAATTGCTTAATTCTGAATGTCCCACTTCTTTCTTTAGATATATTGTATTGGTTAACAAAGGAAACCACTGACATTGGAAGAATTTTGCTTTCTAGGATGCGATTCCAGCATCCTCATTTAAAGAACCTATGGTCAACTTAAATGTCATGAATACAAGTCATATGCACTCTTTTTGTTCCATCTGTTAAGCTGCTATTTTCTTTTCATTATAAAGAAATGCAGTAGCTTTCAAGAATGACTTTTATCAGGATGAGAGCAGGTGTTTAGCTGTGCAGCTCTTCCTTCCCATTCTCCATCCCCCAAGGCAGACTCCCTTGCATTTCTTTGTACATAGCAAAATAAAATAATAAAATAAAATAATGTTAGGATATTGAATTTAGAAGCTGGAGCAGTAAAGTGTACAATAGGCCAGAACACACAGTTGTAGCTGATTAGTTAGAGAGTGCTGACTTATGCATGAGGCAATCTACACTGTGATTGGTTGCTGTAAGTATAAAGGGGGAATTTCCCCTATTTCCCCTCCTTTTTTGCTTCTGTGAGCTCTGTATATTGTTTAATTTACTTCATGATGATCCTGACTATCTTGTGTTGTTTCTTTCTGGATGATGACAAAAACTGCTGCAAATTTGAATGTTAAATATATTTTTATATATAAAAGACTACAAATTTGTGTTGGTGTCTCTGAATTCATCTGAACAGCTGCTGCACAATTCCATGACAAATAAAATAAAACAAATAAAATGCAAGGAATGTCAATCTCGTCCATCCATCCATCATCTACTAGCAGATATTCAAAAGAAATTATCCCTAACCAACCGATGGTTTTCCATTTCTTTCTGCTGATACATAAATAGATCAGCCGACAGAACGATTGCATATTAATCACCCTACCCCAACCTACCCCATTTTCACTCACACAGTTCAAAAACTCTGTGATGTCAGAGTGTATGAGAAATCACAGCACAAGGAAGACATATGAACACATACCACTGTCTGGAAGCAAGAGTGAAGCTGTGTTAAGAAAGGAGGTTTGTCCATCAAAGCCAGAACTCGCTTTTCAACCATGGTACACTCTACATCATCATCTTGAATCACCACGTCTTTTTTCAATATTTTGACTGCATACAATTCTTCTGTTCCCTTTCGTTCTGACAGCATTACCTGAGCAAATATAAAGTGAAGGTGAAGATTTTGCTCATTACAGACCACTAGCAATTTCCATTCAGAAATATGGAAAAACGTTTCTAGTAATTCAGTTCCCTACATACATTCATTAACTTGCAGTCTAAGGAATTTTGTTTTTCAATGTATCTCTTCCATTTCTTACATAAAAACTACATTCCAGACTAACTATTCCAGAAGTTCATAAATAAATAAGGCCCTAAAATTGATCTCTTCCTGCATGTGGATCAGGAATGGGATCCGACTGGTATAACTACCGGTTCTGTTGCTCTGAGTCGTGTGCGAGTTGTGCGAGTGCAACTTACGACCTGCTGAGCTGCCTGGATAGCTGAGCAGCACTGCGTGCAAGTGTGCAGTGGTTGGAAAAGCCCTTTTTTTCCTGCTTTTCCAACCACAGCTGTGTCGCGCAAAGCAGCTGCGGTTGAAAAAGCAGGAAATAAAGGTCAGGTAAGAGCCCGGGCGGGCGGGCGGGCCACAACAGCAGCAGACATAGAACCAGTTCTATGTATGCTCTGTGTCTGCTGTTCTTCAGAGCAACTAGTTCTACAGAGGTGGACAGAACTGGTAGAATCCCACCCCTGATGTGGATCCTAGTTTTTAGAGAAATTTTTGGGAGATGAAATAGCACAAGAAATTCTTAGTATGTCACTGGAGATGAAGAACAATGCTGATGGAACATTGGTCTAAAAGCATCTGATAAGGATTACACAGTGACAATAAAAGCAGCAAAATGCAACTATTTCTCCACTCTTATTGTGTCTTTGACTCTCCTAGGAAAGGATTGGTTAGAATACCTTTGAAGGATTGCTATGAAGACTATTTGAGGCATCTGCAGAAAACGTTTCTTGGATTCATTCTGGGCTGGTTTATAGCTGTTCAGATTCAGCTAAGTGAGATATGGATCCATCAAGGTTATTTGGAAAGAATCTGTGCCTGTTGGCCCTGAGAAAATTAAGAGCAGCTCACCTGAATTCTAGCTAGTCAAAGCCTCCTAGGAAATGATCTGCAGGTGGGTCCAACCAGTAGTGTGTGTGAGAGAGAGAGGTAGGTCTGCCTTCAGTCAAGGAGTCATTGCTAGACCATACAGCGTTGGATAATTTTTTTTATCTGTCTCCAACTTTCTTTTTCTGGAGAAGGTGGTTACCCTGAAGCTTCAGAGAACTCTGGAGAAAGTGGATTGTATGGACCCCTTCAATCTAGTAGAACAGAATGTAGACTAAGGTGGCATCGGTTGCATTTTTTATGACCTGCAACTGGTTCAGAATAAGGGATGTGTGGTATCCTTTTAGAAAAGCTCAAGGGGTGGGGATGGGTGACATGATGTTACAATAGTTCTGCTCTTTATTCCAGGGTCAATTTAAGTCAATGTTGATTGAAAAGAGAAGTCTGGCCCTAAGTCTCTACTGTGAGGGGATGTATCTCAGGGATTGGTTCTGTTCCAGCTCCTGTACCTGAGACTGCTGGATGAGGTCACTTATCAGTATGAGGACAGGTATAATCAATGTGCTGATCCTACTCAGTTATAGATGTCAATGCTTGGCTGTCTAAGGTCTGGGCTCCATATCTTAAATAGCACCTTCTGGTGGGACTAAGGAGATGTGTCTTTTCTGATGCTGCATCTGTCCTCTAGAACAGGGGTCTCCAACCTTGGCAACTTTAAGACTTGTGGACTTCAACTCCCAGAGTTCCTCAGCCAGCAAAGCTGGCTGAGGAACTCTGGGAGTTGAAGTCCACAAGTCTTAAAGTTGTCAAGGTTGGAGACCCCTGCTCTAGAAGAAAACTTTCCCTGAGATTTGAATAGCCTCAGCTGTATCTGTCTTCTAAGACCCAGCTTCCTCCCCTCAGGTCAGGATCAATGATTGCTATTGTTTAGTTTTTATCTTCCTGCCCTGAAGTGCACATGATTGGGTGACTATATACATTGATTAAATAAATGGATAAATAAAAGAGTCAATCATCTCTCTTGTATGTTTCTTGCTATAAAGTTAACATATTATTAAATGGGTTATAATTAAGACGCGCAAAATAGCTCCTTTTGTGGAAACAAGTTTCACAACTCATTTCTTTGCACCTCCATCAAAACACAAAATATGACACCTCACTAACAGTTAGTCTATATTTTGCTAATTTGCATATTCTAATTTTAACAATTAAAACTTAAGGTTGCTTAAAGATAGGGCAAAAATATTCTTGGAAGGCTAGTAGTCTAGTTGTCAGCTGCTTATACAGTAGATTCTTGAGCAAATACTATACATACAATATATTCTACAAATCGAATAATGTTTTCAAAGCAGTATTTACCTGACTCTCAAACTGTACAAAAAGCATGATCCTGAATAGAAAGTTTTATTATGCTTACACTAAATCTTTATTATGTTTACACTAAATTTTATATATGTCTCCTCAGAATTAAATCCCACTGAATTTAGTGAAACTAATTCCTCATGTAAGCAAATGTAGGATTGTAGGCACGTAGGCAAATATTGGACGGCAGCTTTGTTAACAGAGCAGCTAAAGGAATTATTAACAAATCAGCCGAGTCTCTTAACATTTCTCCCTTTCACATTTAAAATGAAATCATTGAATCATTGGGTTGGAAGATGCTTTGGAGGTCTTCTAATGCAATTTTAGACCATTCAAGACAATAGCTGTCCAATCTTTGTCTGAAAACCTTCAGTCCAGGTTCACCCATGACTTCAGGAAGCAAGCGGTTCACTGCTTAACAACTCTCACTATCAGGATGTCCCTCCTCTCTGATGGCAACACAGGAAGACCGTGGTTATTTTGCAGAGCTAGTGACATTTTCATTTCTCCTTCACATTAAGAAAAAGTCTAGAAGTTTAGAGCTCATTCTGAGCTGGTCATCCCAAAGTTTTTGTTTTTTCCCCGAAAAGGCAACTGGAATTTCTTGGTGTTTTTTTCTCTGAAAACGTTTTGCTGCTCATCCAAAGAGCTTCTTGGCTGAGGAACTGAAGAAGCTTCTTGGATGAAAAGTGAAACATTTTCAAAGAACACAAAACCCAAGAAAGTCTAGTTGCCTTTTGGAAAAAGCACCTTTGGGACAACCATGACTTGAACGATTGAGAATCTTCTCCATGGGCATTCTGAGCTGGTCTGCTTTTTTTTTTTCCACTCTTGCTTGCTGAATACAGGAGACAGGGGAGGGATCTTCATATAGCTTCAAAGCCTTTCTTGTTGTGAAAGCCTCAGACTCTCGATTCCCATCCCAGGATCATGGGCCAATTGGTCAAGGTCAGGTCTTACAATCTCCTGATCATAGCAGGCCATGAAGTCATTGGTGCCAGGTTTTAATAAAGACCTTAGAGTTATTGTTTGTTATTCTGGCAGCTTGTGAGAGGTGTGGGTATTATCTTGCTTGGTACTAGGCTTTTTATGTGATGCTTCTCAATCTGATTGAATAATAATAATAATAATAATAATAATAATAATAATAATAATAATAATAATAATAATAATAATAATGATGATGATGTTTAAAACCCCTTTATTTACTGGGGGGGCTTATCTGGGATCTAAAAGAATCCATTGCCAGGGCTCCTAATCATTACCCTGACACTTGGCAAAACATCCTGCGTTTAAATCTGGCTCTCTTTCTGTATACGTCTCACTCTCAGGTTTTTTACCATCCTCGGAGCCCATGAAAACAATGTCCAAACCTTCTTTGTTACAGTCCTTCAAGTATCGGAAGACTGCTATCATGTCTCCCTTGGTCTATTTTTTAAGGTTAAATATATCCACATCTTTGAACTGTTCTTCATTGCATTTAGATTCCAAGCCTCTCGCTGTCTTTGTTATTCCTCTCAGCACTTTTCCCAGTTTCTCAGCATCTTTCTTACATTATGGCAATTAAAAGTGGACACAATATTACACGTATGGTCTGGCCACTGCAGCACAGAGCGTTATTATAATTCCTGTGATCTTGACACTATACCTCTGTTGATGCAAACCCAAAAATCGCATTTATTCTTTTGGCAGCTGCAGCACACTGCTGGTTTATGTTTACTCTGTGGTCTAGCAGGGCATCCACATCCTTCTCGCTAGTGCTAAATCAGGGGTCACCTATTTGAACCTGTGCATTCTGTTTTCCCCATCTAAGTTCAGAATCTTTTATTTCTTCCTGGTATATTGACATTTCTATAAATTGTTTACTAGGGGTGATCTGCTTTTCCAATTTTTATTTACATAATTCATGACACCTTGGCCTTTGATTCTAAAGAGTGCTCTCCCTTACTTTCTTGTTACCTTAGTCTCTCTAAAAGCAAGACAGCATGATATTGTACCCTCATTCACAAAACCTGACACTTAGTTTGTTTTCATGTTGGACAATTTGGAATCAAGATACCAACTGACTCCAGATCAAACTGCCTGGAGGTTGGGCTTCTTTTAAAGTAAAAGATGGCTTTATTCTGATCATGCAGAAGTTGGATCATTACTATAAGCCACTCTGTGACTGTCAGTAGATTGCATATACTAATCTGTGTCTGAAATACCCTTTGTATCTACCCAAGCATGGATAGACTTTGTTTTGGTACCTAAAGTACCATATGATTTAAGCTATCATCACTTGATTAAAACTGCATCTGGTTCCATATGAAGTTCTGAACAATCCTCGATAACACAAATATCAAACTTGCCTTCCCTTCCCAAACTCCCCTTCGCAGAGCTGGAGTAGGAGGTGCGTGATGCATTCGCCCTGCAGGCCAGCAGTTTGACACCCCTGTTCTATAAGAAGCTAGCATTCCGCCCCCCCCCCTCAAGGAAATCTTGACACCCTGGAAGTCTGGGGAGATTCTTTACGCCTGAAAAAAAAACTCCTGCTTAAGGTATTTCTGCCAAGTCTATATTCCAAACTTTCGAAGTTTGTTTTAAACATACAAATATGTCACTGCATTTAAATTATAAATATGTCACTGCATTTAAATTATAAATATGTTTTTGATCTTCAGTTTCAAACCAGAAATTATAGATTCAGGAATTATTCATTATTCCTAACTTTAGATTGAGCTTATTCTGCATTACTGTCTGTGCAAGGAGCATATGCACCATTACTTTGGGAGTGTTTGGAGGAATAGATTGTCTGGATTTGGATGCCAGTTTAGTCATCGTCGTCCGTCCCCCCCGCGCTTTTTTTTTTGGAAGACCCAGAAGCATTATGTCCCTTCCATATTTTATTCTTGTTATTTGTGTATGTATTTTAGAAATGGTATTGTTTATAAAGAACCTTGCAAATTATCAATATGTCTTACCTTCCCAAAGCTCCCTTTTCCAAGCACCATTATAAAGTTGAAGTCTGTCAGTTTAACTTGATCAAGATTATTGGATGGTAAGTTATAAGTCCGGTCTTCAACTGGAGATATAACTTTATTAGCCGATGGGCCAAGCCTGGCTTTCTAAACAAACAAAGAAAATGGCTGTCAGACCTACAGTTTGGTTTTAGAAATGATGAAAGATCAAGATAAGTTTGAAGGTTTGTGCTTTCAGAAGATACTTCATAGTAAATAGAGAACAAACACAAATTCAACTGCCCATTCAAATATTTCAATTATGGATATAGTTAAAATGATATAAAGCAGTACAGAAGTAGAAGCAACCTCTTGTTGGGGTGGGTGGGTTAACAAAGCAAAGTCCAAGTAATGTAAGTCATTACTTTCATGCTAAAATTTCAAAATTCAATTGCCTTTTTTCCCCTTTCAATCATGGGCAGTGTTCAAAATAAAATGCAGGCTTTATCCTAGGTATTGCCACCTGTTCAGATGTAAGAGTCCCATTCAGTATAAAATATTTGATTTTGAGAGTAGGATGGCAGCTTGAATGTAATAATAACATACTAAACGTTTTAATTATTTAGTTGAAATTCACACTTCTTACAAGCATCGTTTTTACCAGTTTTGTGATGATTTTTTAAAACTTTAACTGAATAGATAGCATATTGAATAAATCATTGCCAATTATCAAGCATCATAATTTATATCTCATCAAATGCGGATTTCAGTGTAAAAACATTGTACTCCAAGCTTTTTGGTAAGGTTTTTGTGGCTTGCAGAAGCATACATTGGAATAACTAAAACAGCAAAGCTTTATATAAAATGTTTTTCAGTTCATGGTGTGTCCATTCATGAACGTCTGCAAAGTTCACCTCCAAGAAAATTTCTACCTTAAAATCCAATTGCAAACTTCTTCGATTTTATTTCACTATTTTTTATCTGCGTGGGATTTTTTTTAAAAATGACTAAAAAAAAATCAATTTATAGAATGATTCATATATCTTTCTTCCTCTCTCCCTCCCCTCCTTTCCCCCTCTCCCCCCCTTCCTTTCCTGTCAGACATAAGTACATGCTATACAATCATTTCAATACTATTGTGTAGATGCTATAATATAAATGCAGAAAACTGTCACTCCTTTAAAAAGTTCTCAAAAAAAGAAGCAGCAGCAGCAGCCGAAGAATGTAGGATATCAGGAGCTGAGAAACATTTGTGATGTTTTCATGGTAAAATTTCCTTAAAGCCTCCCACACAACCATCCCACGGTAAGCAATCAAAACTCATGAAGCCCACCAGAACATACTTCAGGGTGTACCATGGGGTGGGCATGTGGGATGTCTTAGCATGTCTTAAGTGATGTACCAGTATTAAACAATCATTTGATTAAAGAAAAGACACTGGAAATTTTGATAATTTAGTTGGAGCAACAAGCTCCCCAAATCATAAAAGTTATGTTAAGTATTCATATAATGTGTTCACCCCCATTATATTCTATATTGTGAGAAGATATAGCTGCCAGCAAAATGGCCAGCACCTGAGCCGCTGGTGACCTGTCCCTTTAATACCTGCCCCAAACCAGCCCAGCAGTAGGTGGCTAAGACACATGAGCAGAGAGACTGGCTGGATGTGGTAGTGTTGCTGTGAGAGAGAAAGCTGTTGTGTTTATTTTGGACACTAAAACAGCCTGAGCAGCATAAGGTAGATAGAAGCATTACTGTTCTTCAGAAGTAGGGCTCACAACGAGAAGTAATAGAGGAACAGGAAAAGTGGGAAAAGTGATACAAGTAAACAATGTGTACTAGCCTTTGAGTACTTGAGTATGTTGCCTAGATGCCTGATGTTGGCTCTCTGGAATGTTGTAGCCCACTAACATGGAAAGTAAAAGAACCTGTGACCTATATCCAAGGGATAGAAGGGGGAGTGGCCCTTCTATTTTCAGTATTAGTATGGAAAATAACAACGCCCTTGCTGAAGTCAAAATTAGAAAGAGTACATTTTAAACATATTCAGACAATAGCTATGCAATTTGCTCAACAAGAGTATCGTTCAAGAGCAAAGGCCCCCACCTGGACTCATTCCTGAAAGCTATAAAGCAATCAAGTTGCTTGAAATCTGACCTAACATAGTTGCTTTGAGATGCTCCTCCGCATCACGAGAATGGAAAAGCAAAGCAAATTGAATTATTTACATATCCTTAGTAATTCCAATTCTTAATCTAGGAGGTTCTTACAAGTATTCAGCAACAAGTGAATGAATCTTTAAAAATCATGTTGTTCAGAAATTAGTATTGATAAAAAAACAAAATAAAGAAGAAAATTTAAAGGTCCTTTAGGGATTAAAACAACAGTTCTTAAGAGTATGGAAAGCATCAAGATATATTATGTCAAATAAATCCCTGTTGCTCTCTGATATCTTCTATTTCCCCAAATATACAAGCATTAGATTATCAAGAAACATTTTGAAAAGTACACTGTAAATATCCAAAGTCCAGAAAAGAATTACTATTGGAAGAGTTAGATACTCGAGCTGGATGTTGACAGTGATGCTACATAATTTGTAATTTTTCTTCTGTGATTTCAAAATGATAATACAGAACCTGTCCAGTTCCCACAGTTGGTGACCCACTACCATTGAGGAATAATCTCCCACATTTCTTGAGATTAAATAGAAGTATTAGCCAATTTTAGTTTCCATTTTGGGATTGTTGAATATTATTGTCCAAGATACACATCTCAACCTAAGCCACATAATCAGCGATTCTTTGTTGTTAAGAAACGAGCCCAGAACTTCATAATACAATGAATAATTGACATATTGAAGGCAACTGTAGGGATATGAAATATTACTCAATACACAAAATACAATTAACACATTCTCATTTTTAAGAAACAAAATATTGTTAATTATTGTATCGTAGTATGTAGTGCATATTTTATCAGTCTTAAAAGATTTATAGTTTTAATTAAAATACCATTTGAAAGTCAAAAACTAATTTCCTAGAACAATTTTACACTATCTCCACAAAACACCATGCAACACTTGGTAATTATATTATGCTTATTTGTTGGGTGATTCCCTCCATCTGCTACACACCCCCCCCCCCACCGTTGGTTTCAAAAGCACTTATTTCAGACAATGGGCGTAAATAAACTGCTCCTTATTCTACAACTGCAGGAATCTAAAATATTGCATCCTAGAAGTCATATGTCCTTCAGTCATGGTTTCTAACATGGACAGATGGCTCACATTGTCAGGAAGACATTTTCCCTAACAGGAAGGAAAGGAATGAGTTCTGAAAAAAATGATTTCATTTCAAAAGAATTAACATGCTGCATATTTAGTGAAGACATGGATAAAGGTAGAAGAGAAACAGGAAGTGGAAAAAGAAGAGTTTTTATAGGCAGCAACAGAATCCAATTCCGAGGAAAAATGCCCAGTTTAAACACTTTTAATTGTGACCAAACAACACAGGAAAAAAAGTTTAATTTCTAATCTTTCACGGCAAGTTGAAGAAGAGAGCAGTTGAAGAAGAGAGCAGGCTATGAAACAGACCAGTTAACACCAATATAGTAATAGATAAAACATTCTAACATAGATCTTCATTAAAAAATATCTCTTTTAAAAATATTTCTCTCATAGTATTGGTTGTGAAGAACACAGGGACCTTTCAAACATGGAATCGCAATACTTTGTCTCACTCTATTACAAGCCAAATTTCACAGTGCAGTGTGCAACACATGCTAGACAGGTTTTGAGCCCATGCAGGACACTTGCATTGTCTTAGTGAGAGGAGAAATTTTAGACATTAATGAGACTGGCATGTGCATAATCTCAAATTTATATGGCTGCCAAGCTCTCAAAAAGTGACTCCGGGCAGTGTGCTTCAATTAATAAAACAATAAGTACATAAAAACAATTATTAAAAAATTAAAAATATATGTTTAATACAGTCAAAAGTATGTTTAACAAAAGATGCCTCTGCTCTTTGGTTTCTTATATAGGTATTTTTTTAAAAAAAATAGCAGATTCCGTATACACTTGTAGACCAACGCATCATATAAAACCCTTGTGCCAATTCTCACAGCCAAAGTGTGAGCTGAGTAGGACCTCTATTAGCGCTATTTCCCCTGTAGTCTTCTGTAAAATATGGAAAGGGCTTAAGTCCACCTGTGACCCTTTTCAGGCCACATGTTTTGTTGATGAACTTTCATCAGATACCAGAGCTTGATTTTGTTAGCATTGGTTTCTATGTTAGTACAAGCATCAAGTATCAAACTGTCCTAGAGACAGCTACATGCATTTCTCCTGTAATATGATTAGGGCCCATTTTGCATGATTTACTATAGGAATTAATATTCTTAGTACATTCAAACAAAAAAAAAAAAACCCACACAAAACCTTTTACTGCAAACTCAAACCTAGGTTTTTTTAAAACAATTAGTTCTAATGAGGGAAGGAAAAAAAAGCAAGACATGCATGTAATCTTACTTTCTTTGGTTTGGACGCACCTTATCTTGGACCTTTCTTTTACCCTGTAACCACAGGCAAGACACGCTTTATACATTTTTTAACTCTAAGTTATAAACAAAAAGACTATAGTGGTAGAAAAAAACTCAAACTCACTTCTACCTATTATAGCAATAGCACTTGGACTTGTATACTACTTCACAGTGTTTTTACAACCCTCTCTAAGCAGTTTACAGAGTCAGCCTCTTGCCCGCAACAATCTGTGTCCTGATTTTACTAGCCTGAGAAGAATGGAAAGCTGAGTCAACCTTGAGCTGGAGAGGATCGAACCCCTGGCAGTTGACAGAGTACGTCTGAAATACGGCATTGTAACCACTGCACCACCATGGCTCTATAAATAGAGAAGCCCATTTCATCATGGTTGTTTCTCAACTTGGAAACCTGTGTAAATCTCTTTCACGTATCCCTTAACTTGAAACTGAAGGGAAATTATGATCTTAATGCTACACACATACTATGTATAACCACAAATTCCACCGCATCATAAATAGGTAAAATTAACAAATGAAGTATACTGATCGTCAAAATCTGTTGTTCAAGTTGTTTCTATAAGTAAACTTAATTTTTGTGGGAAAGCATTTTAAGGCAGGAAATTGCCCTC